GAGTTCATGACCCCTGTTGCCAGGCCAATCCGTCTGCTGACTTCCTGGTCTGACAGCCCAGAGTTATGAACTACACTACCAAGGTATGTAAAGCTCTCTGTGACTTCAATGTCCTCGCCGCAAGCACGTACTGACTGAACAGGTTCTCCTTACAACTCCCCAAATTCCTGGACCTTACCTTGGTCCAGACCTCTAGACCCAAGGGTTTCACTTCATTGCTAAATGCATTCAGAGCCGCCACTAGGGTTTCCAAAGGCTCAGATAGAATGGCAACGTCATCAGCAAAGTCAAGGTCTGTAACCTTGATATTGCCCAGTGTTGCTCCACAATGACCTTTAATAGTAGCTCTGCCCAGTATCCAGTCCATGCAAGTGTTGAAAAGAGTTGCTGCAAGGACACAGCCTTGCCTCACTCCTGAACTAACCGGAAAGAAGCTCGACAGGCCCCCACCACACTTTACAGCACTTTCAGTACCAGTATACAGGCTTGCTATTAGTCCAATAATCCTTGTTGGAATTCCTCTTAGTCTCAGGATCTCCCAAAGTGACTCCCGATGCACCGTATCGAACGCCTTCTTGAGGTCGATGTAGGCTGCAAGCAGCCCACGCCCGAACTCACGGCGGCGCTCTACAATGACTCGAAGCGCGAGGATACAGTCTATTGTGGACCTACCAGGAGTGAATCCGGATTGTTCCAGTCTCTGGTGCCTCAGTAGATGGTCTCTGATACGTCTCAGAAGGATGTGGGCGAGAACCTTGCCTGGTATACTGAGCAGTGTGATGCCTCGGTGATTGCTGCAGTCCCAACGGTCCCCCTTCCCCTTCCAGAGAGGGATGACCACACCCTTCAACAGGTCAGGAGGAACGATACCGGACCGCCAGATGGCAGCCAGGACAGCATGTAACCCCCGTACCATAGGTTCACCACCAGCCTTTAACAGCAGCTAGTATGCTGCGGATACCTGCTGCTTTACCACTCTTCAGCTTGGAAATCGCCTCCCTAACTTCAATTAGGGAGGGTGGGTCCTCACTGATGGATGGATCCGGCAGTGGGATCTCAACACTACCCGCATCCAAGTTAACTGTTGATGGGTTAACCTGGTACAACCGCTCAAAATACTCAGCCCAACGTTCCCGCACCGCAACAGGATCTGAAATGATCTGACCACTTACTGAGCGAACTGCTGTCACCTGTGAAGAGGGCTTGGAGTTCAGCTTTCTCAGGGCTTGGTATGCAGGACGAAGGTCATTTACTAAGAAATGGCCTTCTACCTCCTCTGCAAGACAAAGGTCGTCTCCAAGACAAGCAGTGCCCAATCCCCTTGCAGCGGGTTGTGTCTTTAGGTATCTCGGCCGGCGATCGTGTCAATGCTCCGTTGAAGATCATGCTGTATTTCCGCATGATGCTCTCTCTTTCACTCACTCTCTCTCTCTCTCTCTCTCTCTCTCTCTCTCTCTCTCTCTCTCTCTCTCTCTCTCTCTCTCTCTCTTAATAAACTGTTCCTTGTCCCTTCTTAACAGGGTTCTGCGCACATGAGAACGGTGCAATTCCCGATCCCTTGTCAGACGAGCCTCACGACATGCATCTGTGACTTCCAGTGTCTCCTGCGAGATGGAATTCTGTACTGCTCTCGGGCGTACACCAATCGTATCTTGAGCTGCATCAAGCGTTTCACACTTCAAGGTATCCCTCAGAAGAACAGAGTCTGTCAGACTGTCAAGCATTGTGAAACGATCAGAGATTGCCTCAGCAAACCCGGAGGCACACTCCCCCTCCCTCACCCTGTCCAAATGAAACACCCTAGGGTGATCATTTGACCGCTGGGGAGTTTTGAAGTGGACTCGGAGGGTAGCCACAATCAATCTATGGTCAGTACCACAGAACTCAGCACTCCTGTACACCCTGCAATTTTGAAGGATCCTCCAACGAGTGCTAACGAGTATATGGTCGATCTCCTTGGCTGCATTACCCGCATCACTGTACCATGTCCAACGATGTGGGTATGGTCGCTGGTACCAGGAGCCAGAAATCCTCAATTTCTGGGACCTAGCAAAGTCCCGGAAAAGGAGGCTATTCTCGCTACCGGCATCAACTCCTGAACCCTGGGGACCGACAGACATCTCATAGCCAGCTCGATCACAGCCAGATACCGCATTGAAGTCACCCAGAACAATGCGAATATCTCGCCGGGGACATCTGTCTACCACAGATGTAAGTTTGGTGTAGAACATCTCTTTCATGTCAAGTTTACAAACATCGGTAGGAACGTACACAGCAATATGAGATGAAGCCAAAAGATAGCTTCAATCTCAATACCATTATATGCTCATCAACAGGAGTAACCTCTACTACCAAGGGCTGGAGTCTGCTGGAGATGGTAATGGCTACTTCCTGGAGATGGCGGCCGTCGCTGCGGCCCGACCAGTAATAGGTGTAGCCACCTACACAGGTCATGCCGCTGCCAGGCCTCCTCACCTCCGAGAGAGCAGCCACCTCAACTCTCAGCCTCCCCAATTCCCTCGACAGTAGAGGCAACCGATCATCCTGACGCAAAGAACTGACGTTCCAAGCCCCCACCCTGACTTCCCGCCTGAGGTTCATCCTCTGGCAGTCGTTCCGGGTGGATGCCACCTCTGCCACCCCCACCGACGCTGCCCCATATAAAAGGGGGTGGCGGGCTGTGTGCCCCATCATCCACCTGTGGGGTTCCCGAGGGCTTTCCCCCCACAAGCTTCACTCTGGGCTGGCGGCTACCAGAGCGTAGGCGAGATGAGTGGTTCCCATTCCCAGCCTGCGCTCCAGCAGTCGCCCTCCCAGCAGGGCCCACAGTCCGCCTCACTTGCTAGGTGGGAGGGACTTTTCCCCTCCTCCCAGCCTTTCCATTTATTTGGAGCACTGCCGATTGGTTATATCTGAGGGGGAGGAGGACTGGCAAGGCCCACCTCCCACAAGCCTCCCATTAACCCCAGGGGGCTTGGGGGCAGGAGTTGGTACAGGGCCAGGGCGTGTCCACACGCCAGTGGGCCATGACCCTGAACCTCTGGGGCCTCCTGCTGCTCCGAGATCCCCCTCAGTTTACCCTAGAACCGCAAGGTACCCAGTTTCCATGGGAGGCCACGATGAGGCACTGCAGGGAGTCTCGATGGTGGAGAGGCTATGCACTGGCAGGGGGAGGCTTATGCAGAGCTGCTCTCATACACACACACACACACACACACACACACACACACACACACACATATATATATATATATATATATATATATATATATATATATATATATATAGACATAGACATAAATATATATGTGTGTGTGTGTGTATGTGTTTCCCGACCCAATAAATTTTCATAAATACAGATGCAGAAATAAAGGCATATCTGCCTACATTTCTGATATATATACATTTAACCATCTATTTGCTGAGTTGATATCAAAGACTATATACGAAAGATAGGAAAGCATGGCAAAAGCCTGTGAGCCCTAGCGATTGGTGGATAGTGTAATATCTGAACAATAGATGGCGTTGTTTGCACGATGTATCGTATATTTGTTTACTATTATGAAACTTCACTTACTCAATACGGTAGGAAAGGATTTTTTTTTTTTTTTTTTTTTGGGGGGGGGTTTGTTTTTGCATGTTTATGCTTTCTGTTTTAGCTGTAGGCTTGCTTTCCTTAATACTTTCATTGATGATGACTTGGAATCAAATAAAGAACTGTTTTACATGAATGCGTTTTGTTTATCCTTGATTTAATGACAACAAAAAAGAATGAAAAAGATGAAGAATTTATTAATGCCGAATATTGTGCATTTTATTTAATAAAATTGTTTATTTAATAAATTGTAGAGTTTATTGAATCTAAGTTTATTTTCACTGTATTAACACCAAAGATATTTTCTGCAATAAAATTGTATAGTATTTAAACAATGGAAAATTTTTATTGGTGTCATGTAAATATGCATACACATGAGATGATTATTAATGTTTTATTGTCATTTTCTGAAAAAGTGCAAAACCTGATTTTGATGTATGAAAAGAAATCTCTAATAAGAAAAAAAGGTTATTAGTGAACAGAATGATTATATAATTCCATGTAAAATTCCAACTGAAACTAAACTTTTAAAACTAAAACAAAAATAAAATAAATCTATACAAATTTATAGCCTCCCCTATAAATGTTCTATTTTCTTAGTTACATATCTGAACAATAGATGGCGCTGTAAGAAGTGTTAGGTCGCACATCTTTTTGAACGGTGTGATCCGTGATTACCTATCTTTCGTATATAGTCTTTGGTTGATATTCATGTCTAGACTAATAAATATGCATTTATTTCTTTATATATGTCAAGTATACAAATATTCTTTGGGTCTGGCCTCGTCTAATTCTAACAAACCGGCCGATTCGAGATCTGACAGAGGACGACTGCTGATGAGAGTAGAGAGAGACAGTACTTTCGGAGAGTGCGACCATCTGCACTTGGAAATATGCACATCATAGTTGCTTTTTACTAAGTCAGTCTCTCTCTCTCTCTCTCTCTCTCTCTCTCTCTCTCTCTCTCTCTCTCTCTCTCTCTCTCTCTCTCTCTCTCTCTCTCTCTCTCTCTCTCTCTCTCTCTCTCTCTCTCTCTCTCTCTCTCTCTCTCTCTCTCACACACACACACACACACACACACACACACACACACACACACACACACACACACCACACACACACACACACACACACACACACACATACACACACACACACACACACAATTAAAGTTTTTTTCTTTTCATTTAACTCTGTATATTTTTGTTCATACATTATTGTTCATAACTGAACAATTTTGAGCATTTTTGAATGCGCTCGAAACACCTATTAAAGCTTTATTTGTTTTTATTTTCCTTTATTTATTGATTAAATTTACATATTATGTATTTTTGCAGAACCACCTTTAAATCTATATGTTTAAAGTGAAAAGATAGAACTCCTTTTTCGTCATACTCGAAGTCAATTCCCTCCTCAGTTGTCACCCGTCAACAACATCAGCTGATATTTTCCGTGAGCATTTCTTCCTTGTTAATTCTCTTTTTTAATTGAATTTAAGAGTGCGTCATGTCACACCGTAGCTCCAGCTTTACTGCGAGTGTTATATAGATCGTGACTGTAGTGGTTTTGCATGGTGAAGTGTTGAGGCAATGTGTTACATGAAGAAAAATGTGCAGTATTTTTTTTTTTTTTTTGTAGAATACAATATCTACAAAGGAAGGAACAGATATATTTAATGCATGTTATTTAAATCTTGTAGCTTGCTATTAACTTCTATGTCAATTTTTAAGAAGTGGATGTCAAGATTTAAGCCAGTTTACAAAAAGACTCCAACGGCAAGAAAAATCGTAATAAAAAGAAAAAGCAATAAGAGTGTAGTGGAGTCCTAAAAGAATATAAGAATTAATACAAAAAACAAACGAATGTAACAAATATTGGAATATCTATCAAACTAAAGAAAATTTTATCAATATAGTTAAGAGAAAGCAGAATAAGTAATACCTGTCAATGAGCGTATGACAGTTTCTGAATGGCACAACACTTCATAAAACAGCAGGGACCAAGCTGCGTGCAGCACTACAGAGTTATATTAAGGCTATTGAAGCAGGCACTTCCATTAACACCCGCCGAGTGAGCGAACGCCTTCAGGCAAGTCAGATAGAGGAAAAATGTGACAAACCCGCCCATCTTAGTAGAAGCGGGGGATAAAAATTAAAAAAAGCAAGGCTCTAACATAAGTATATGCGTTATTTCCCTCCTTTATAAGCATGATGAGCACACCCGGAAATGGCCTTTATAACGTTCACCTCGGTACCTACAAAATGACGAAAAAAAACTCTATACCATACTGTCTTCTCAATTTTTTCGCAAGTTTATTATTTATTTGAAGCGGATATTTATCTCTTCATATGTACTGCGCTGCCGCTATCCAATCCTGTACACTTATAATTTAAAGGTCGGATATGCTTGTAGATTACGTCATCGTGACCATTACGTCTCTGATACGTACATTATGAGCCTATTGATCAGCCCGCACTCCATTCTCTACTCTCGCATCCTATCAATCTCTCTTCTTCTATACACTACACTCTGAATCCGATTTTCTTATCTTCTTCTCCCGTTCTATACCTCTGCCCGAATCTATATCTCATGCGTTAGCTTCTTCGTCTCTCTCTCTGCCTCTACTTCATCTCCTCTCTCTGCACCTTTTCCCCTCTTATCTGGTCGCTTTCCTCTTTGTCCTCTATTAATATTAATCCTCCCCAGTATCTCTCTCAGCCTATACTTCTCTCTTATCCTCTTCCTGCGTCTCCCCTGTCCCGTACCTCGCTCCACTCCCCCTCTTCCCTCTCCTCTCTCATCTCTCCTCTACTCCCATCCTTTCACCTCCAGCGTTCTTCTCTCCCGTCCCGCTACTACGTCTCCTACACCTGCTCTCATTGTCTCCCTCGTATCTACCCTTTCATATAGGTGTAAGGAGGTTACAATTGCACCTTTCATTACATATTTATTTAGACTATCATGTAGCTATCTCTGAAATAATCCCTGTCCCTAAGTATCTCAAAGGATTCGGTATGTCACGAACATATTTTCAAGGCTTGTAGCTCAGATCTCGAGTCTTTTTCTCACATTCCATCTGTTGGCGAGGTGTGTGCGCCGAGACAGGCGGAGCGAGACAGGTATAGCGAGGTAGCTGAATTAGGGAGTGCGTGAGAACGTACTCTGGACTGAGCAGTCGGTCATTTATTCGACTCCGAGATTTGGATAAACCCAAGTGTACCATAAGGAAAGACAGCGACATAGGTGAGAGCATAGTAGAAGAAGGAGGAGAGAGAGTGGAAGAGATTAAGCAGGTATTCGGCCAATGTTGATGTATGTATATATCGAGGGTTTGCGTGGAGTGATTGCGCCCCTATGTTATTAAGGAGTCTTCTCTCCTGCGCGCGGGGTAGATCGTCTGTTGTTGGCACGGAATGAGTCGCACGTAAATGCATAGAGATGGTGATAAGTGAAGAAGGATTTGTTCGCGAGTGTGCATTCTCTCATCGGAAGCTAAACAAAAGCAATCATTTTCTTTCTCGCACGCGTTTTATATCTATGGAAGAGGAGCTCCTCGTCACTCTAGAATTTGTGAGCTCGCACTCAAGAGGAGGAGAGAGCAGCGAAAAAGGATTAAATGAATCAGCAGTCAATTCGAATAATCAGAGAATCTCGAGATAAGTCCCTAATGATACTCGTAGTACCGAAAAGAAACGAAAGGGATTTTGACGTATTGGCTCAGTGATGATGATTGAAGAAGATAGGATATAATATGTGAATGGTATGGATATGAGTGTGATGTGTAATTGCGTAGGAGACGGAGTGTTGAAATTACAGAGCGCGGTGATACTTGCCGATAAAAGACATGACCCGTGAGGGTGGAGAGAGAGGAAATGTGTGGCGCTAAGGGGGGGATGGTTGGGTGGCCTGAGTGGAGACTGCCTACTGTCGATTTGATATCGCCTTCACGCCGAGTTCAGGAGCATGATGATGGCTGCCTCGGATAGGGCATTAACGATGCGCTTAGGGCACACAATGTAACTATTGATAAATGTATATATTAGATTGAGGTTGGAGGATTGGGTATGTCAGAATACGTGATCTGATGATGAGGGAGAGGAGGTGATGGAACGTCTTGTCGTGTGAGATGAGATTACCTCCGTTTGTAGAATGTTGTTGTTTTGCGTGTTGAAGAATGTGGGTCTGGGTTTCCGTTAGATTTTTTATGATGATGTATTCGAGAGGTGATCGAGTCCGATAAAGAGCATTTCGAAAAGACGAGGATGGGCAGGTCTATGTGACATCCTGTTGAATGTCTAGAATGTGTTGTCTATTAGAGTGGTAGTGACCTGAGTATATATATGTAGAGTAACGCTTTTTGTTATGTGCGATTGGTTACGCATATATGATTGATCGTTATTCTTGCTTATGTTAAGCTATGTGTTTTTGTACCCCTATAAATGTTTCTACTGTACTTGATTGTATATACTATATCTCAATGAACCTCCGCGTGTGCTAACTGGGACTATTCATATACCAAGATGGATACGTCATTTGGGAGAAATTTTATGGAGTACTCCGAGATCTGGCTCACTGTGAATATATAGTAGGGAATGTCAAGTGATCGCAAAAGAAGAAGAAACAGTGACGTCTAACGATAAGGAGTCGGATGAGAATTATACGATGAGGGTGAATTGAAGTAATCATGAGTAGTCAAGTGAAAGAAATACAAATTGTCAGTTTTTATTTTGTATCATACGCACTTTAAGGTTCTCTATGCGCTGAGGGTGCGCGTTCGGCTAGCCCTAATGAGAGAGCAGCCGGAGAGAGTACTCGATTTCAACAAATTGACCTTAGAATTTTCATTCATATGTAATAATTCATGTAGTAGTGCATTAACATATAATAGCAACATGATTTATACGTGAGTAAATATCCAACGAGATGCTTAATGTGAGTGTCTCTCATGTGAAGGAGAGAAAGTAAATCATATGTGGTTAGTTAAAGTGTAATTTTAATTGTAAGAGAGATGGGTGATTTGAAATGTCAACTAAATATGAACTTATGTGTTAATTTACAGTAGCAGTTATGAGTTAAAAGTAGGTTGAGTAGTTTGTCATGAGTGGGTAGCAAGGCTGGTCAGATTCATTAAAAGTATATCTTAGTCAACAACAGGAAAAGCAGGCATCACCTCTTATTACATTTACTAAACAGCGTTTTAGTGGATAAACCCCAAAAATATCGCAGGATGATGATGGGGTATGCCAGAGTTTTATTAGAAGAGTGACACGTGTAAAGTGATGGGTGATATGAAGTCACCACAATTACATGGTGTTATTCTATTCTCGTGTATTCGATAGAGTGAGACAGTGAGATGTAGTGTTAGTGTCTCACATGTGCATAGATGAACAAAGACTGTATATGGTCGAATGAGGATTCAAGGAAGAACAGGGTGTCAGCTATCTAAACTGCAGATTCTAGAAAACATATAGAGATGAAGCCATCGCGGCGAGCGACTTCGTTGTCCAAGAGCTCAGCATTTCTATCCTTGTCCTACGATTGTCCTTGGAAGGATAGCTAGCCACCAACGTGACACACGTCCACGTTCGTATTCAGTATGGGGAGCCGACGTTATCGGCGGAGTGCTCCATACTCGAGGTCTCATGATCTTGGTGCCGAGGCTTCAGGTGAGCATTAGTTGACAGAGGAGAGCGATTGCGATAAATAGTCCTTATTCTTAACACCCCTGATTATAGGAGTTATCTGTTGTGATGAGAACTAATATACTAACTATAATCATATATTATATTATTATTATTTGTATCTTTGGTGATATATAACTATTTTTTATATTTGTTATGTTATTTTCTGTCTAATCGTTTTATGGTATAATGTGTAATGTTTAATCGTTTATTGTACTTATGGTTACTTATGCTTACTGCTTTTTATCTGATGGTGATTGTTACTGTTATGTGTGATATGAGAGCGCTTATAGTGTATCGATTATGTTGACTTATATATGTACATAGCTGTCAATGCTTCATTGTATTATGTTATGTTCTTGTCTTATGTCATGTCTCATTAGTGAACCTAACGTATGTGTATTGTCGACCTGATCTTTTTGTTAGGTATTTGTCTATGTTCCCTTGTTCTATTTGCTTTTTGCTTTAACGTTGACTTAGACCTCTCGCGTTTCGAGTACATATCCGTTTTTGTTTATGTATGTTATGTTACGTTATTTATGTTAGTGGTTATAAGTTTACTATAGTTTACATGATAGATTAATACTATAATATTATTATTTATAGATCCAATCTCTTCAGAAGGCAAAATATTACAGTATACTATCTCACTACATTTCATATCGTATCATGACTTTGTAGTCTAGATTTATTTTCTTATATTTATCCTTCGCCCCCCTCCCAAGACTTGTCGAATACATCCCCCACTGTGTCCCGCAATATCTACATTAGAGGCAACACCAATACTTGTTAGACAACTGCCCCTAAAAACTTGGTTAGGCCAGGTCAGCACACAGACAGCGCCGCCGATAGTTCATACATCAATAAAGCAGGTCTATTTACATACAGCGACATGCAAACCATGGCCGTTGCCCCAGCCTAAATTTTCATTTAGCGAACGCAGCTTCTTAGTTCAATACCTAAACCACGCTCGGTCCCAACCGCAACCCCTTCTATAGGCCCTTACCTCCCATACTGAACCCACCCCCCTCGGGACCCCTTCCTCCCCACCCACCAGTCTATATAACGCCTGCGTATAATCGGAATGTGTATTGTCCGCTTAAATACTACCACTGGCTACGGCATCCCTAAATACAGCGTAGGAAATTGACGAGCAGGTAAGTACTATTAATCTCAGACAAGGAAGTAAAAAAAGGTGTGTTTCGAATTTATTACCAATATGAGTGCTTCTTATTTTGTAAATACAGATCGTAAAACTCACTCTTTACCCTAGATATGAATAGCTGGAATTTATGTTTACTGTTACCATTTTTCCTTTTTTGTTACTTTTTTTCATCATTACTTTCTGTCCTTCTTTTCTGATTCTGACTCTACCGTTTCCCCTGTCTTGCATTTCTCGATACTTTTCTAATAGTTCCTCATTCTGCAAATTGTCTTTCTCTGCCTTTCTTCTATTGTTCTTGCCATAAAGCCTTTCGATGCTCGTGCTAGTTCTTCACATCACTATCACTTCGCCCTGCTCTCTGGGCCATCATCATTCGACCCAGTCCATGAGAAAACCATCCTGACTCTTCGTCCTACCTCTCTCCTGCGTGCTTCGTCCTCTCGTGGCTATTCTCACATCCTCGATCTACTACATTGTTAAGTCTTCTAATTCTATTACATACGGACACTATCGTCATTCTCTTAATATCGACACTCTTCATTCTTAATCTCTCATCAATTTCTGGCTCTTCTACTCTCTCATCTTCTCCCTCTCTCGCGTCACTTCACATATACCAATGGGGACCTGTCTTCTATACCCCTTCCTTCTTCCTTGAGTGCTAGGCAATGCATTCTAGCTTACACTCTCTCGTATCTATCATTTATCTATAATCTCGTGGACCTCTCTACTACTCTTCGTAACACGTCCTATCTCACATCTAACTTCACGTCTCTTCTCATTAAGCTTATAATTTCTTATATCGAGCTTATGTTTACTTTTGCTTTCTTGCTTATTCTATTATATATCTTTGTTCCTTACTTTTAGGTATCTTTAGCGAGGTCTACACAAAGTCAGTGCATACAATAATGTTCAATCAATACTATAGTAATGCGTGATGTTTAAGTGATAACTATACTCTAACTCAAAATCAACCTGACAAAGTTTTTTTTTTTTCACTCTATCAAATCTATCGTCAGCTTACATCAAATTGGAGCTTAAAGCTTGCACTATTATTAAGTAGATTTTGGGCCTCTACTTTTTAAGACGGGCGTCATGACTTGACACCTGTACCAATCAAAATAATTTCTTGTGATCCAATTTATATCTTGCTAATGTCAATCTGAGCGTCACATATCTTAGGTTATATATAAAAAAACATTAATATTACAAACCTTTCTCTTATTTATTCCCTTCTTTTTGCTTTTTACAAGCAGAACAAGGATAAGACTTTCCTGGCAATGTCGGAACTGTCATAATTTTCGCTCTTCTATGTAAACAAACAGACGGGTATGAGATGACGTCACGAGATGCTCACTAACGCCATCTATTGCGCCGATGCCGCATTACTCACAGGATTTTGCTTGACTTTCCGGTCTTTCGTAGTTAGTTTTTGATAATAATGCTGCGTTCGGAACTGCTCGTCTTGCTCGTCCAGACAACTTGTCCAGGACCAGCAGGAAAAATGGGCTGCGTTCAGAACCTCCAAGACACTTTCTTCCCAGAATGCAACTGGCTAGAATATAAACATTTGCTTTTTTATGATACTGGTGTCTTTATTTTACATACTCCATAGGTTTTGTAACTCTTTGATGCATATTCAGCTTACCTGCAACTGTTAAACACCAAATATCCTTTGATAACAACAATAATGGGCCATAAAATTACCCATCAATATCTTGTGGTTACCTGCAACTGTCAATGTTTACATACAAAAGTTTATGTGACATCATCTTGTCCTGCTCGCCCATCTTCGCAGAAGGACAAGATGGACAACTTGTCCAGGACGAGATAGTAGAGGTTCTAAATGGTCATAACATCTCGTCCAATTGGTCTGGATGAGCAGGACGAGCAGTTCCGAACACAGCATAATTGCAATTGTCAAATGGTATAATGGTGAAAAAAAACATTAGACATTTATGTAAAGTCAGGCAAGATAGAGTTGAAAATACTTATTTGATGATAAACTTCTTGGAATGTAAGTGCTATATCATAACCAGAATAGAATACATACAGTATACAACAGCTGGCTTTGAACTACATTGAACTTTGCAAAGCTATAGATAGTAAGTAACTTGAAACTGTCTTTGTTTATGATTTGCCTTTGGATTCTAGTTGTCATTGATTATATTGTCTGCAGATTTGCTTAACATCCAGAAACTTTTCCAGAGAGATAGCTCAGGTATCCAGGCAAGTGCACAGCTGAAAGCAACTGCTGTGAGTATTGTATTTCTATACGAAATAAACTTGTAGATGAAAAGTATTATAGATTCTATCAGTATATTGATTCCATACATTGTTTACTGTGAAAGCTTAGCATAACCCCAGGTAGCATTGATGGATGAGTACCTTGGTCCATGGAGCCACATGGTACATACTGTAATATATTGCTAAACTAGGTATTGAGCACAAAACAATGTTAGATGAACAGTCTATACAGATAAAGAGTTCTTGCTTTCTTCTCATGTAATTGTAACTGGCTCCACAAGGTAAATATGATACCCAATACTTTGGCATGTAAAGTGGCCAGCTACAGACTAATCTGACAAGTTCATAACTTTCCTTGATGTACATCCTTTGGTTTTATTTATGATTGTCTTTAAAGTACATCTAGTTTTGACATCATCACTTGGTTTAGATTTTGATATATGATTTTGCATGTTTTTTTCTTTACAGAACCCCTCCCAATTGCACTATATTCCTATCAGGGGTTCTGCCCCCTGGGCCCCTATAGTCTTAGTTAAATGAATACAAAACAGTGTACCCTTCTAGTCATGAGCTATTTTTACCTTAACCCCTTGGTGATGGTGATAGCTGGCTACTCACAGCTTAGTCCTAGCCATAAAGATTTTTGCATAATATTACATTACAAGTAAATCAAGCCCCATCACCATAGAGTTAAATGGATGGGGGATAAAATTTATCTGCAGCCAACTGGAACTAGTGGAAACACTTGTTCAGCTCTGGGAATACATTGTGAACAATCAATCAATTCTGCACATGTTTCCACACTTTGCACAATTGATAAGTTCACATAACAAACTGTAATTTATGCAGATATCAGTAAGTTTCACTAAATTTCCACTGTATGGGCTAAAGAAGGACCATAGCCAAGATCACACATAGCACAAAATATACCAATGACTGTCAAAGAATACTTAAGGAACTGTCAAAAATTCTGGTTTTGAAAATGCACATTCACTAAAAGCTGTTAAAACAAAAATGCAAAATAATTTATAAGAGGCATATTTTATTTTTCATAATATTACATAATTAGACAAGATGCCCATATATAGTGGAATAGATGGGTACTAATAAGAAATAACTCATTTCCACATGTGTGTAGTAAGACACAAAATAGTTGACATACAGCAGTAATGTGTTATGTGGTCAATTTACTATTCAAGACTGTAAACATAAAGAATGACAAAAAAAAATTACTTTACGACAAGAAATTTAAAGGTTTCTTATATCCCAAATATTCACTCAGTTTTTTCACTTTCATGATATTAATTACATCATATTGAAGGTGTAGTGCACGTTGATATCCTCCAACTTAACTATGCAATCTTATCTGTTGCTTTTGCATTTATAAAATGGTTGAATTGAAAGATATTTCCCTCATAAAAATATGTACAAGAAAGTTATCATATAATTTTCTGTACTATATAACATGATATATGGTATCATTCTAAATGTTTTGTAATTGAATCTTTTGAACTGACTTTTGTAGCTACTTCAGATTATGTCAAGACTATATTTTTTGTTATGTTTTTGTTATACTAAAAATAATTGTGAATCTTCTTTTCTTTAGGTTAACAAGTTATGGAGAAGATGACACGATATGAACAGGTTAGTCAGAATTGAATATTGTGTGGTTTGTGTTGAATGGGTTGCTTTTCCTTCAGTATTATGGCTAAGGTAAAGTTGACTGTTTATTCTTACTATTCTGGTAAATGCATAGAAAACATCACTTATCCTCTATGGTTCTTTTATCATTGCATCTGCAAGGCCTGATAATGGTTCAGTAAAGGCCCAAGATCCTTAGCCATGTATGTGTTAGAAACAGCAATAGTTACAAGCCCAATGTCTCATTTTCAAATATTACAAAAGTAATTTTGTAAATTTTTCCTCTTTGGGTTCATGCCAGAGCTTAAAATTTAAAAAGTCATAATCTGCAAACAAATGATTTTCACTACAATTTCTCTGTCTAAGGTTGAAGGTCTCTTAACATATCAAATTAGTTAAATTCATGCCTTTTGTGCAGTTATTGTAGAAATAGTGGCCATTTGAATTATTTGTATATTTCTGAAAGGGTAAGGAATTAAATGGTTGCAGAATGGGTTTATTGGGCTAGAATTCATGTATGTGGTTTCCCTAACACCATTAGAGATTTTTTAATTAGCCTTCATCCTTTATACCATCTAATATTTTATGGTATTCAATCTTTTCATTAAATTTTACATTTATACACTAATCAATGTAAATTTTTGCTTCAATATAATATCCATTCCATTTTTTTT